TAAGACGTTCTATAGGATCCCCTGTTGATTGTTTTTCATGTTTATACTATACGGCGTTCTACAGGATCCCCTGGGCGGTCTACAGGATCCCCTGTTGTCTGAACATTATATATCTACTACAGGACGTTCTATAAGACCCCCTGTTGATTGTTTTTCATGTATATACTATAGGGCGTTCTACAGGATCCCATGGGCGGTCTACAGGATCCCCTGTTGTCTTAACATTATATATCTACTATAGGACGTTCTATAAGACCCCCTATTGATTGTTTTTCATGTTTATACTATAGGGCGTTCTATAAGACCCCCTGTTGATTGTTTTTCATGTTTATACTATAGGGCGTTCTACAGGATCCCCTGGGCGGTGTACAGGATCCCCTGTTGTCTGAACATTATATATCTACTATAGAACGTTCTATAAGATCCCCTGTTGATTGTTTTTCATTTTTTTACTATAAGGCGTTCTACAGGATCCCCTGTTGTTTGAAAATTATGCATCTAAGATAGGACCTTCTATAGGTTCCCCTGTTGTTTGTTTATCATGTATATACTATAGGGCTTTCAAGATCCCTTGGGCGGTCTGCAGGATCCCCTTTTTTCTCTACATTATATATCTACTATAAGACGTTCTATAGGATCCCTTGTTGTTTGTTTTTCATGTATATACTATAGGGCGTTCTACAGGATCCCCTGGGCGGTGTACAGGATCCCCTGTTGTCTGAACATTATATATCTACTATAGGACGTTGTATAGGAACCGCTATGGTTTGGTTTTCATGTATATACTACAGGGTGTTCTACAGGATCCCCTGGACGGTCTACAGGATCCCCTGTTGTTTAAAAATTATGCATCTGAGATATGACCTTCTATAGGTTCCCCTGTTGTTTGTTTATCATGCATATACTATAGGGCTTTCAGGATCCCTTGGGCGGTCGGCAGGATCCCCTGTTTTCTCAACATTATATATCTACTATAATCGTTATATAGGATCCCCTGTTTGTTTTTCATGTATATACTATAGGGCGTTCTACAGGATCCCCTTGGCGGTCTACAGGATCCCCTGTTGTCTGAACATTATATATCTACTATAGGACGTTTTATAGGATCGACTGTTGTTTGTTTTTCATGTATATACTACAGGGCGTTCTACAGGATCCCCTGGTCGGTCTAAAGGATCCCCTGTTGTTCAAAAATTATGTATCTGAGATAGGACCTTCTTTAGGTTCCCCTGTTGTTTATTCATCGTGTATATACTATAGGGCTTTCAGGATCCCTTGGGCGGTCTGCAGGATCCCCTGTTTTCTCTACATTATATATCTACTATAAGACGTTCTATAGGATCCCTTGTTGTTTGTTTTTCATGTATATACTATAGGGCGTTCTACAGGATCCCCTGGGCGGTGTACAGGATCCCCTGTTGTATGAACATTATATATCTACTATATGACGTTCTATAAGATCCCCTGTTGATTGTTTTTCATTTTTATACTATAGGGCGTTCTACAGGATCCTCTGGACGGTCTACAGGATCCCCTGTTGTTTGAAAATTATGCATCTAAGATAGGACCTTCTATAAGCTTCCCCTGTTGTTTGTTTATTATGTATATAAGGCGTTCTATAGGATCCCCTGGGCGGTCTATAGGATCCCGTATTGTTTAATAATCGTGCATCTGCTATAGGGCGTTCTTTAAGATACCCGGGTCGGTCCATAGGATCCCCTGTTGTTTGTTCAACATGTATCTTTTAGAGGGTGCTCTATACAATCCCAGGGTCGGTCTATAGGAGCCCCTGTTGTTTGTTCATCAAGTATCTATTAGAGGGCGCTATATAGGATCCCCTGGGCGGTCTATAGGATCCCCTGTGGTTTAATAAATGTATATCTGCTATATGGCTTTCTATATGATCCCGTTGTTTGGTAATCATGTATCTACTTGATGTATCTACTAGAGGGCGTTCCAGGGTCGGTCTATAGAAACCCTGTTGTTAGTTCATCATGTATCTATTAGAGGGCGTTATATAGGATCCCCTGGGCGGTCTATAGGATCCCCTGTGGTTTAATAGTTGTGTATCTGCTATAGGTCGTTCTAAAGGATCCCCGGGGCGGTCTATAGGATCCCGTTGTTTGATAATCATGTATCTACTAGATGTATCTACTAGAGAGCGTTCTATGGGATCCCCTGTTGGGTCTATAGGATCACCTGTTGTGTAATAATCGTGTATCTGCTATAGGGCGTTCTATAGGATCCTCTTGACGGTCTACAGGATCCCCTGTTGTTTATTCATCATGTATCTATAACAGGGTGTTCTATAGGATCCTCGGGGCGGTCTATGGGATCCCGTATTGTCTAATAGTTGTGTATCTGCTATAGAGCATTCTATAGGATCCCCGGGGCGGTGTATAGGATCCCGTTGTTTTTTTAACATGTATCTTTTTGACGTATATACTAGAGGGTGGTGTATAGGATCCCCTGATTTTTGTCATTATGTTTCTAGTATAAGGCGTTCTATAAGATCCTCTGGACCGTCTATAGGATCCCCTGTTCGTTGTTCATCATGTATCTATAACAGGGCGTTTTATAGGATCCCCTGTGTGGTCTATATGATCCCCTGTTGTTAAATAATCGTGCATCTGCTATAGGGCTTTTTATAGGATCCCCGGATCGGTCTATAATATCCCCTATTGTTTAATAATCGTGCATCTGCTATAGGGCGTTCTATAGGATCCCCGGGTCGTTCTATAGGATCCCCTGTTGTTTGTTCAACATGTATCTTCTAGAGGGTGTTCTATAAAATCCAAGGGTCGGTCTATAGGAGCCCCTTCTATTTGTTCATCATGTACCTATTAGAGGGCGTTATATACGATCCCCTGGGTTGTATATAGGATCCCTGTGGTTTAATAAGTGTGTATCTGCTATAGGGCGTTCTATAGGATCCCCGGGGCGGTCTATAGGATCCCGTTGTTTGGTAATCATGTATCTACTTGATGTATCTACTAGAGAGCGTTCTATGGGATCCCCTGTTGGGTCTATAGGATCACCTGTTGTGTAATAATCGTGTATCTGCTATAGGGCGTTCTATAGGATCCATTGGGCGGTCTATGGGATCCCCTGTTGTTTATTCATCATGTATCTATAACAGGGCGTTCTATAGGAACCTCGGGGCGGTCTATAGGATCCCGTATTGTTTAATAATTGTGTATCTGCTATAGGGCGTTCTATAGGATCCCCGGGGCGGTCTATAGGATTCCGTTGTTTGGTGATCATGTATTTACTAGATGTATCTACTAGAAGGCGTCCTATAGGATCACCTGTTGTTTAATTATCGTGTATCTGCTATAGAGCGTTTTATAGGATCCCCTGGGCGGTCTACAGGATCCCCTGTTGATTGTTCATCATGTATCTAAAACAGGGTGTTTTATAGGATCCCCTGTGTGGTCTATAGGATCCCCTGTTGTTTAATAATCGTGCATCTGCTATAGAGCTTTCTATAGGATCCCCGGGTCGGTCTATAATATCCCCTATTGTTTAATAATCGTGCATCTGCTATAGGGCGTTCTTTAGGATCCCCGGGTCGTTCTATAGGATCCCATGTTGTTTGTTCAACATGTATCTTCTAGAGGGTGTTCTATAAAATCCAAGGGTCGGTCTATAGGAGCCCCTGTTGTTTGTTCATCATGTATGTATTAAAGGGCGTTATATAGGATCCCCTGGGCGGTATATAGGATCCCTGTGGTTTGATAAGTGTGTATCTGCTATAGGGCGTTCTCCGGGGCGGTCTATAGGATCTCGTTGTTTGGTAATCATGTATCTACTAGATGTATCTACTAGAGAGCGTTCTATGGGATCCCCTGTTGGGTCTATAGGATCACCTGTTGTGTAATAATCGTGTATCTACTATAGGGCGTTCTATAGGATCCTCTGGGTGGTCTATAGGATCCCCTGTTGTTTATTCATCATGTATCTATTACAGGGCGTTCTATAGGATACTCGGGGCGGTCTATAGGATCCTGTATTGTTTAATAATTGTGTATCTGCTATAGGGCGTTCTATAGGATCCCCGGGGCGGTCTATAGGATCCCGTTGTTTGGTAATCATGTATCTACTAGATGTATCTACTAGAGAGCTTTCTATGGGATCCCCTGTTAGGTCTATAGGATCACCTGTTGTGTAATAATCGTGTATCTGCTATAGGGCGTTCTATAGGATCCTCTGGGCGGTCTATAGGATCCCCTGTTGTTTATTCATCATGTATCTATAACAGGGCGTTCTATAGGATCCTCGGGGCGGTCTATAGGATCCCCTGTGGTTTCATAATTGTGTATCTGCTATAGGGCGTTCTATAGGATCCCCGGGGCGGTCTATAGGATTCCGTTGTTTGGTGATCATGTATTTACTAGATGTATCTACTAGAAGGCGTCCTAAAGGATCTCTTGTGGGGTCTATAGGATCACCTGTTGTTTAATTATCTTGTATCTGCTATAGAGCGTTTTGTAGGATCCCCGGGGCGGTCTATAGGATCCCCTGTTGGTTGTTCATCATGTATCTAAAACAGGGCGTTCTATAGGATCTCCTGGGCGGTCTATAGGATCCCGTATTGTTAAAAAATCGTGAATCTGCTATAGTGCGTTCTAAAGGATCCCCGGGTCGGTCTATAGGATCCCGTTGTTTGGTAATTATGTATCTACTAGATGTTTCTACTAAAAGGCGTCCTATAAGATCTCCTGTGGGGTCTATAGGATCACCCGTTGTTTATAATCGTGTATCTGCTATAGGATCCCCGGGGCGTCATATAGGATCCCTTGTCGGTTGTTTGTCATGTATCTAAAACAGGGCGTTCTAAAGGATCCACTGGGCGGTCTATAGGTCAAAGTACGGCCTTCAACACGGAGCATTAGCTCACACCGAACAGTAAGTTTAAAGGACTATAAGAACATATGCCAGATGATGGTCTTTATGATTTGTGTTGTTATTTAACTTAATGTTGAATTTCACTTTTTTAGAAAGATCATCCAATTCCTGTTAAAGAAAAAGTTATGGTCCAAACCAGTAAAAAGAAAAACTGTCCGGCAAGCATTATAATAAAAGAAAGGATTTGCTTTCCGGATTTTAAGGTATAATCATATTAAGCGATATATAATGTCTTAGAATTGTTATCTACGCTGCTAAGCGATTTCCCCCTTACTATCATGTACCAGTCCAGTGCACATCTAAAAAAATGAATATTATGAGTCATGTCTGCCTTTTTATAACTAATTGATTTGATAATAAGTCTTTGGGTCGGTTAAGTAGTTATTAGAGATATATATATGTTTTTTAGCTTAATTTTATTATATTTTTGATTAATTACGAACGATAGTACATGTATAATTATCATCATTATTATTTTTTGAATTTTCATCTTTGTCCATCATTGGAAAAAAATGTTTAATTTGATTTTGTTTTTACATAAGTCAGTACCATATTTTTTTTAAAGATCAGGTATCTTTTAGGTAACAGAGAACACAGAAAAAAGGAAAAGAGTAGTTAGTGAAGATACGAGACTTAATTAATGGTGATGATAAAATAAAGATGGAGTATCGAATATATATGAAGTTTCCAACAGACCAGTACCACCAAAATACCCATCAACTAGGAGAGGTGTTAATAAATATACATTTGTTTTGAAAACAGGGGGGACATATCATTATTGTACGTTTCTATTTTATGTCACCCCCAACAAAGTGGGGTGACATATTGCGATTCCTCTTTTTCTGTTTTTCTACGATTAATATTGCTATTGTACCTTTCTTTTTTCAACCACCCACCCACCCCCACACACACTTTTTGGTCCAAGATATTTCTCGGAAATGGAAGGACCAATCTTGATGGAACTATTGCTAAATGTGAACCACTATGTTGAGTTGTTCTATCGGGGTGTGCCACTTTCAAGATGGCCACGATTACCATGGACACTTTTTAGATGTAAAACAATGTTTTCAGGGTTATGTTACAGTATTACATTAGGATCATGATATTCTTATACAAAGTAGGTGTCAACTATATAAAGGATAATGTCAATTTGTATGGTACTCGGATCTAAATGGCAGCAGCTATCCTGGAACAAGTTTAGCAAGCAAAATAACCAGTTTTGCTTTTAGCGAGTTGTGCTACTCGAAGCCAGAATTTTCAAAATGGACACCGTTACCATGGGAACAGAAAAGGAATGCAAAATTTCCCATTTCGATATTAGCAGGTTTTGGGTAACTTTTTTTATCTTGGAATTATATAGCCGTTTTCATGACAATGTAAAAAAAAATATTTCATAATGTTCGAAATTAACTGAAACTTTAAAAAAATTGTAACCTGGCATGTAAAAATGTGCTGTCTGCTTTAGAAATTTTCAAAATGTCCACCGTTGCCATGGAATTGCGAAAATTTCCAAAATGCTCAAAATTAGCTGAAATTAAAAAGTAATGTTAACTGGAATGTGTAGATGAGCCTTCTGACTTATGATTTCGAAAATTTTGCCTATTTTTCCATTTCTAAACATCCTCCAATGTTTGTCTGCAGCACATCTTATAGTTTGGATGGACCGATATTGTTGAAACTGTAACATAATGTTACCCGCCAAGTTGTGCTCAAACATTGGGAGGTGCATGACGGCCACGGTTGTCATTTAAACTGCAAAAATGTTAAAAAAAAAAGAAATTTTGTCTTTTATTATTAGAACAAGCTCAATAAAACTTTGTTGTATTGTTGCATGTTAGTAGTATAACCTTATTTTGAAAAATTCTAGAACAGGTTCTATTAGTCCTACATCTATCAAATTTAATAGGATGGTTGATGGGTATGTGTGAATGTGCAATCTGACTATGGAATTATCAAAACGGCCGCCGTTGCCATGTAAATAACCATACGCCTTCTGCAACAGTTGGAATTTTTATCATTATTCATTTCAATCCTTTATCTACTTTAACTAACTTTCAATGTATAATTTTAGCTTATTGGATTTATGAACCGTATAAATAAAGATGTCAGTGCTAAAATTGACGAGTTAGTAGGCCACGGTGTATCCAGTGTCAGTGAGATGCGACGTCATCTCAAAGTTTTTGTCAATGAGACATTGTTTTCAGGGAAGACTTTGCCATCCATCAATGATGTTGCATATTATCCCACAGACACCATCATTAGAAAGCACATGTATATGGCACAAACGAAGTTAAAGTAAGAAGTTTATAATAATTTGTATAAATTATTTGAAAATTATATGAGAATTATGTACATGTATTTGAAACAGTAGCAAATTATCAGCAAAACCAAGAGTCTGCAAACGACTTACAACAATCGATAATCCCTATCAAACCCGTTAATAGGTTTCACTTAAATACAGCAGTAGGGATTGTTGGACTTGGATTGTCTTGTACATTTTGGTCGCGTCATTTTCCTCATGAAATTCACCGCTTTCATTCTTTATACCTTTGAATATTTTGTTGTGAAATTTGGTATGTGAAATAAAATCATGTTAAACATTTTTCACCTTTCCTGACAAGAAGTTTATTATACCCCGCTTTTTAAAGCTGGGATATATACTGATGGGGAAGTCCGTCATTCTGTCCGTTCGTTCGTCCTTCCGTCTGGATGGTACACTATGTTTCACTTTGAATCCGCAAACATTGCCTTATATCCGCAACTTCTCATTTACCACTTATCAGAATGAAATGAAACTTTCTCAGATTCCTAATCATGTAATGCCATTGTGCACCTTCGATTTTATTTAAGTAAAAATAAATTTAGGTTTTCAATCCAGAATCATAGATTTTGCGAGAGGCGGGCTATAATTTCGTGAGCTCTACTCACAATACCTCTATTTCTTGTATTTGAAGTTCCTTTTTGGTTTGATTTATGCCCTCTTCCACCTTCAATTTCGTACCTTTTTTTCAATAGATATTCGAAAATTGATCAAGAAAATATGTTACAGTTGGTTGCAGAATGGCAACAACAAAATCCAGCTGATAACTTTGACTTTATGCCAGCAGCCGAAATTCACTCTGGTAAAAATGGAGTTTGCCTAGAAAACATAGAGGAAATAGAACAAGATGACAGTGATGAGATGTATATTTCTGAGAAATCAGAAGCTAGCAGTACCTTCTTTTTTTGTCATCAGACACAATTTCAAAGGCATCTGTTACAAAGGTAATCTTTATAAACATATAATATTTTTTGCTGCAGGATAAGTTCTTAACGTTAATTTATAATTATTGAAAGTTTATTCGTGATTTAACTAATTACACTACCCTTTTTAGGTGAATATAGAAGATTATGACATTTTGTTAGGAGCTTTATGTGAGAACAACAATCATTGGTGTTTAATGGTAAGAAATCTAGCTTTTTATGTTATTGCATCAGAAGCATTGTGACATGAAGATGTTTGTTATTATTAAATCGTTGTTCAGCAAATATTGAAGTAGGCCCCCTACATAAGTAAAACATTTTTGAAAAAGTTATTGCGAAAAAGTGACAGCATCTGTGTGATTGAACTTGTTTTCCAAATAGAACGCTACCTTCTTGTGAAGTTGTTTTTCTTATTATTGATTAAACGTAAAATTTTGAGTGAAGCAAAGTAAAGTGCATATAGCTCTGGTTTTCATATTAAACTTACGTTGATGTTTACATTGTAGGTCATTTATCCACAATCTAGAGAGCTTCTTTATTTAAATCCTTTAGGCGAGCAAAAGACACACCAGGACCAATATTTACAGAACTGGTTGTATGTAGTGTATATAATTTTGTGCATTTCGACGAAAAAAAAGAGGTTTTACAACCAGATATTTACTTACAAGCAACGGATACAATTTATACAAAAACGTCTGACAGTGGCAATGTTGTTTTTAAACCAAAACAATTAATTCTCCAAAATTGTAATTTTTATGTTAAGTTTAGGAGTATTTATCAATTTTAAAACAATTTACAGTGAAATACGAGCGATGATAACATTTTTATTTTTCCAAATCTTAGGTTATTTATATCTGAAAGACACAATAGGGGAATCAGACGCAATCCATCTTTCAGTTTGGAATGGAGTATTGTTACCAGGAAACACAGAAAACAATTAGATTCCTCATCATGCGGAGTTTTTACGTTGAAGGTAATATACTACATCTATTTCAGTTTTAAAGTCAGGAATCAGACGTATGTTGGTTGGCATCTGCTTGACTTTTAGTTCTGTGTTTCTGTTGCCCCGTTGTTTTCCTCTTGTAGTTTTTGTGTTTACTTTGGTTTAAGTTTATCGCCTGGACTAGTTTTTCTCTTAATCGAATTATGGACATAGAACAGTGGTATTCACCACTGTTGTCTACATTAAAGGGATATAGAAATATAGATGATTCCAACACTGCATCAAGTGTATTACGATATTTCTCTACTCGAAACAGTTAAATTTTCAAATACGATATACAGTGGCAGAATCTGTTTCTCGAATGATTTTTAAAAGAAATTTAAACAAAGTATGACCTTTCTTTCCAAAGATCAGCAAAAAGAAATGTTCTTTATATGTGCCTGTTTTCATTACGTCATTCTGTGGATTCATTATTATTCGTTGGATACCAATTTTCGTGTATTTCGTGGGTACAGATGAACCACGAAATTAATTATTCAACGAATTACAAATTTCCTATAGACTTGTATACACAATATGGCTAAACCACGAAATTAAATATCCACGAACATGTAAGTTTCACGAAAATTGGTACCCACGAAAATAAATGAATCCACAGTAATAGAAAATTTGGAAGAAAGCAAGATTTTGATGCCATAGAAATTCGACCAATCATTTGCCGAGAATAAATTTCTCTCTGTAGAGACTAGAAATATTTTTCTCACACCGGTCGGAAAATGTAAAAATACAAAAACATCACGAATATTAGAAGAAAAAAAACAATCCTTACATTCGTTTGAAAGTCAGATTCCGTTACTTTTATTCACGGTGTACTAAGACCAATTATTCTTATTTTGGTATCGGCCAAATATTTAAACATTAATACATGTATTGCAATTTCTTCAGAAATTAATTTCAAAAAAATGTTTGGTTGATTTAACCCGTAGAATATGTACACCTTTATAAATCTCGTCTGAGGAACATGCTTTATAGCTCTGCTTACAAGTTTTGGTGTCAACATCATCCTCTTTGAATTGAATATTCTCGATTTATATATTTTTCAGTTTGCAGAACATGTTCTTACAGATAATGACTTTATGTTTGACTCATCAAAAAGGGCTATAAGAGCATCAAGACACATCATTGGACAAGTTCTTGTTGATAACAGTGGTAAGTGTTGTATTTTCTCGGCATAATTATATTAAAATGCATTATAAAGTCAGGAATGTGACAATTGCTTTCCATTCGTTTGATATGTTTCAATATTTTGTTTTGCCATTTGATTACATTTTCATTTAGATTTTTTCCTTTAAGTTCAGTATGGTTATTTTACTTTATACCCATTGAGAAAAGAGTTTCATTTTTAATTCATGATAAGAAAAAGACTTCCATACCATATGAAATAATTCATTTATATGTCATAAATTTCAAATGTTCGTCTACGGTCATGAATTATTGTATTCATATGTCCACAACTAATGTAAAAATATCGATATAGCAATTTAAAGTTAAAGTTGAACATCTAAGAGATTCCTTTACTTGATGTTAATCACTGATTTGCAGGCAACTATCATGAGATTTATTAAATTGTCGTAATAAATGAAACGTTCTTATTCTAGTTAAAGGATTATTACAACAACAGCAACCCAAGGCTATGCCTTCAAGTCCTAAACTCAGGAAACCGAAATTAAAGGTAAAAGGATTCATAATACAATAAAAATGTACAGATAAATGTAATGGTTATTGACTTTCAGTGGGATATTGTCTAATTAATACTGATATTATTTATCATAGAGTATCTGAATTAAAAATTTTAAAAATCTACGCCATGTTTACAAGACTCATCAGTGACACTCAAATCAAAATAATTCTAGGTCCAAATAAAGTATAAATTTAAGTTGAATAACATTTACATTGAAGAACGATAGAATGTGGTCTTGTGATAAAATAACATTGGTTATTTTTTTGGAGATATCATGACAATTGACAATAAACAAGGTACACAAAATACAAATAAACATAAATGTACACATGGCAACAAACAGCATGAAATTCATTGGGGTTGATCCAGATTATTGAACAGTAAATGATTCTCAATTACACCTGTTATACTGTATTTCTGTATCTTTGTACCTTTAAACCTTATGAATAGATTTTCAATTAGATTTTTCATGTATTCCTTACACATTTAAATTAAGGAAAAGGGGCATTGAAACAGCTTCATCATCATGCACACAGGACATCCATTGGCTATTTATATCGGTGTCAGCAAAGGTGAGTTTATCTCATGATTATATATATAACTGTATTCAGTTCTTCAGGGATACATTTTTTTATATGGTTTATAATAGTAATTGGAAACATATTTTATATTTACCTATCAAACATTGCTTTTTAGGGATACCCGTTATTTATTATTTAGACCATATCGAGTTTAGCTTGTGGCTTTCATAATCTTGACAGATATCTCCTTTTAATTTGGAAGACCTATATTTCTGTTTTATGCATATGTATATAATTTGTTAAAAATATAACTGATTTTATAAGCGGCTGTAATACAAGTTAGAGGTTAAGCTAGCTTTACAACCAGGTTTAACCCATCATTTTCTGCAATTGAATGCCTGTACTAAGTCAGGACTATGACAGTTGTTTCCATTCGTTTGATAAGTTTGAGCTTTTTGTTTTGCCATTTGAGTAAGGATTTTCCATTTTAAATTTTCCTTGATGTTCGGTATATTTGTTATTTTACTTATTACAGACATGTTTACAGTGTCAAAGTCTGACTAGTGCCATGTGTGATGATTTTGATACAATGCCAATGACTATCACCAGAGGATTCTCGTCTGTGAAAGGACAGAACTTAGCAACATTGGTAATCCTTATGTTTTTGCTATACAATTTGTGCTACAAATGTGGCATACTTGGAGAGCAACATATATACCTAGGATACGATATATTTATGTCCGGTTAATTCATTATTTCCTTTAACTCATTTCATAATCATAATCTAATAGTTTACAAAATTAAGATAATTTTTCCTCATGGGTTTAAATAAAACTTTCACTGTTAGTAGTTAAAGTGACATTAAAGAAACCAAATGATTCTAAAGTCAGTAAGTTTAATTATGTTATCCCTTTCAAAAAGGGGGGGGGATATTGTTATTGTTAGTTTCTTTTTTTTTTATCATCTTCTTTTTCCCCATAACTTTATTGTCCCGGTAAGTTCTCGGAAAAGGATAGACACATTCATCTTTATGGAATTATGGCGTAATGTAAACCACCATATAAAGTTTTGATTTTTAATAAGGGGATGGTCCAAGATGGTCGCGATTACTATAAACTCTGGTCAACAGTATTTTTTATGTTTTTTGTATATAATTCTAGTATGCCTGAGCATAGAACCATGATATTCAATATACAAAGTAGGTGTCAACAATTTGTATGGTCCTCAGAACTACATAGCAGTAGGAAGTTGTGTTTTTTTAGTATGGATTTTTTTTTTCAAAATTGCTGACGTAAACCTAGCAATGACAAGGTCGTCTGGCAACTTGACAACAGTATGACATCCGCCATTGCTCGCAATGGCAATTATAGTTGTTTTCGTATTCTTATGGATTTGTACAGAAAGGAGAAAAGAAATTGACCCCGTCTTTTAATATCACTTTCCGATATATTGATGATGTACTGTCTCTTAATGATAATAGATTCAGTGATCTATGGCAAGCCGTTTTACTATTTATTCTAACTTCATGATATCTCATATAATATATAAGATATTTCATATGATATATAAGATATCTGTCTCGTATAATATATGAGATATCTAATATAATATATAAGATATCTCATATAATATAAAAGATATCTTATATAATCTAGTTTTTATAAGATATCTTATAAACTTAAAAAGATAGCTTATATACTTTATAAAATATCTTATTAATTTTATAAGATATATTATATACTTTAGAAGATATCTTATAAACTTTGGATGATATCTTATAAAGTATATAAGATATATTATAAAGAAAATTATAGTAGATATCTTATAAACTGAAGAAGATATCTTATAAAGTATGGCTGTGTTTGGATATACGCCTAAGGCAGCCTATGGTTACCCATGGGTATCTTTAGGTAACAATGGTTTGATATTTTGATATATAGAATATCAAACCAAAGGTACCTATGGATAACCATAGGCCACCTCTGGCGTATATCCAAACACAGCCAATATATAAGATATCTTATAAAGTATATATAAGATATCTGATAAAGTTTATAAGATATCTTATAAACAATTTTGAAATAAGATATATTATATACTTGATAAGATATCTCAAACAGTTTATAAGATATCTTATATAGTTTATAAGATATCTCATATAGTTTATAAGATATCTCGTATAGTTTATAAGATATCTTATTAAAAAAATATAAATATGATATCTTATAAAAAAATATAGATAAGCTATCTTATATAGTTTATAAGATATCTTATTAGAAAAATATATAAGATATCTTATAAACTATATAAGATATCTCATAAACTATATAAGATTTCTCATAAACTATATAAGATATCTCATAAACTAGATATCTTATAAAGTTAATTAGAGATCTTGAAGTTAGAATAAATAGTAAAACGGCTTGCCGTAGTGATCACTTACATTTGATATATCAAAACTATTGAAAATAAAGATACTTCCGACACAGATAAATCTGTTTTATATTTACACCTTTTTCTTGAATTGACTACTGATGATAGGTTAAATACCAAAAGTGTGTCGGAATTCATATCTGATATTCTTCCGCAGTCATAACAACCATTCATTATTACCGGACTGAACAGGGTGTCGTATACAGTGCAGGGAATGTTTACCCTTCCCGAGCACCTTATAACACTCCCGGTTTTAGTTGAGTTCGTGTTTGTTCCTATTTATTTATAGTTGTTGTGAATGTCTTTTGGTTTTATGAGTCTTTGTTAACTTCTTTGTTTTGATAGTTAATGTCTTCCTTTAAGGGCATTAGTACTGGAAAAGATTGTCTGAGGTAGGGACATTGATAAGATTTTAAGATAATTGAGACATTTTTTGAGAATTTATGTTTGTGATTTTATAATGAAATATCATTTGTTTTACTTATGTATTTTTTTCTTATACAGTTTGATGTCCACGTCAAACACAAACTGAAAGAGGTCATAGAAATGACTGAACTTCAAGGAAGTGCTAGGTGAGCTTTTCATAATTTAAATTTTCAAACGTTTCACACTATTGAATGCTTGCTTTGTTTAAAAAATGATGCGACATTATACCACTTTAACACAATATTGGTAGATCATATACGAATGAAAAAAGGTTTAATAGCTTTTCAAATAAAAACTTTATATTATCGTTATGTATCATATACTTTTCAACTATAAATAGAATGAATAACAGCTAGCACAAATATCCAAAGAAATGCCGTACTTTAAATACATTGTGACTTGGATGGAGCGTTATCTCATTGGCACTCATACCACATTTTTACTTTTAATGAAAATATCTTATCTTATATTATCTTATCTTATCAATTTATTTATATAAACACTACATACAGCTATTACAGTGCACATTGGAGGCATATACGGTGGATTACCGGTATTTCATCAGCAAAGCATATGGAAATGAGGAAAACCACAGCTGGGATATGCGAAAGACAGAACATTTTTGGAAATACTGTAAATATAAATATGTCTAATCTTAACTATTGGTTCAATACTTTTTAGTTTTTTAATACGTAATTCATTCAATGATGTAATTGATCTTCTATCTATATGCTGACACTGCAAGAAGGACAATTTAATCCTTTAAACATGTTAAATGATCTGCAATGTTTATGATAGAAAATATGTTGAAGATGACTAGAATTGTGTCAATTTTATGGCCACAGGTCTAATTAACTTGGGTTTTTATTTTTTTTAAGTTTAAACTGATTTGCAATTATTTGTGTTGTATGTCTGTAAACTACTATTACAAGTAAGGTGTATGAGAGTCAATCACTGATGACCCTTTCTTCATGCCTTTCTTCCTATTGAGGACAAATGGGTCAAAATATTATCCTGATATTAAAACCATTCAACATCGTAGCAATACTTCTCTTATACATGTATCATTTTCTCTTTCAAATAGACAATGGAACTAAAATGAATCCACTTTAATGATGTTCTTACCCTGTTTTCAAAATATAACTGATCATTTTACATAATGCTTTCAGGCAGGCAAAGAGTTGTATGCCTTGGTTCTCGCCGAGTTTTCGGAATGGAAAATTAAATCAATACAGTAAGTATGAACAGTTTTTTTAAATTTTAAAACTCGTGTATATTTCAATCAAGTTTATAGTCTATAACAATTCATGATTAAAGTAGATAAGGTAAATATCCTCCCGGTCATTTTAAGTCCTTTTCAGCAGTTGCATTGTTTTTCTGTGTTATATTTTTAGGCGATTGGGATTTACACATAGACACTATTTGACAGTCAAAGACAGTATCAATAATTCCAAGCTACAGACAACACTAGACAAAATGTAAGTGATTTTAATAATATTAAGAATTAAAGTCTACTATTGATTTATCAGTTAGAAAGTGTTTCCTTTAAGTTTTATTGTAAGGAATTATCTTTGTATTCTAATTGGCTAGAAAGCTAGTTTTATGAAGATATATTTCAAAGTGAAGCAATATTGTAGGGTGCTTGGACATTGATGATATTAAAATATGATCTATATCAATTTATTTATGACAAAATTGGAATTTAATTTGATAAATGGACTTGGTGTTAGTTACATTTTATATACATCTATTCCCTCATGTCGTTAAGGTATTATGTGTCAAACATCTTGAGAATGATAATTTAGAACTTGATATTATTCCATTATAATTCTTAAATGATATGCATATTAGGGAATACGTTCATATGAATGGTCGAGAAGGCTTCCGGTAGTCACTCTTGAAGTTTTTTACTTTTCGATAAACGACGATGACAGAACTACTTTTTTGTAATCAATGGAAACAAGATGGCAGCGAAAATAAGACAGACCGGCTCGACGTCAAAAATACCTATTTGCACTTATCTCCCATTTTAAAGAATTATAAGGATTAAACGCTTTTTAAAAGGAATTTATTGGTGTATAGACTAGACCAAGTCACTCACAAACATATCACAAAAGTCCTTCGGACTTTTATTAGTTTGTGAGTTAATTGGTCCAGTTTATACACCAATAAAACGCCTTTTAAAAGGAATTTTTTGGTGTATAAACTGGACCAAGTCACTCACAAACATATCACAAAAGTCTTTCGGACTATTATTAGTTTGTGAGTGAGTTGGTCCAGTTTATACACCAATAAATTCCTTAGAAAAGGCGTTTCATCCTATACAATATTTTTTAAATGTCCCACTTAATACTTACACAAAAAACAAGTCCATATTACTTAAAGAGGTAATAAAAAGATGAGCCAATTAATAGTAATGTTTGAGAGGCGACCAAAATGATAAATATCTCAAATACTTTAAAAAGGTTATTTTTTATCATATTAAAATAAAATGTAATATAATGTAAGATTTTAATATATTTGAAGCATCATTTACAGTATGAAATGTCTGAACTTTCAAATATATTGATGAGGATGTTACCACATAATCATTTAAATTGAGAATGGAAATGGGGAATGCGTCAAAGAGACAACAACCCGACCAACGAGCATAAAACAGCCCAAGGCCACTAATGGATCTTCAACACAGCGATAAAATCCCGCCCCCGGAGGCGGGCTTCAGCAGCCCCCTAAGCAAAAATGTGTACCAGTTCATTTAAAATGGACGTCACCCTAAATTCTGAAACATATAAATGAACTAAAATGTTAAAAACATACAAGACTTACAAAGACCAGAGGCTCATGACTTGGGATAGGCGCAAAAAGCGGTGGGTTAGACATGTTTTGTGCGATCTCAACCTTCCCACTTAACCTTTAGCCAATGTAGACATATATAGCTACAACGTCTGCAATTTTTGAGTGTCACTTCCATAGAATAAATTATGGGGTCCCTAACAATTTTTGCCTCTGCAGCGCCCCAAAAGAACCTACTCTAAACGAAATCTGCAGAAGGGGTCTCATGAATATTTCTTGGAGTTAGGTATTTTTGTTATCTACTTTTTACATGCACATGGCGTGACATGTCCCTGTACATGGGGCCATCCGACGAACGATTAACCTAGTTACATATATGCATATATATATATATATAGCAAACTTGCAGTTTTGAAGTTTTGCGAAATACCAATTATCATTTTCACATTTTTATAGGATGTCTCAGAATATGAACAGTGGTACAAGATATTTCAAAGATGTTTTGTTTGTGGAAGCTGAAATCTTAGTTGTTTCTCACATCAAGAAGATAACTGTACCTGAAGCTGACAGGCTACTTCATCCTTTGCCGAGTTTGAAGCGCTATAATTCCTATAACTGCTAATTAACTGATGGATACTTAATGATGAACACAATGAAACATGTGATGTTTTTTATGTTGTTTATTTGTTTTTAGAATATTCGTTAAATAGAACTACTGATTCAAATTTCAACCATATTGTAATTTTTAGGATTTTCACGAAAATACTCTGATACACAAATACAAAATAAGGTGTATGAAGTAAAACATGTAACCTTTGTCAATGATTTCTCTCAACCGGCCGAGTTTGTATGATAAAATATTATGAAATATGTAATAAAAGTACGAATCATATTAGTAGATATAAGCTGTATCAATTTCAGTGACTCACTTTATAATTAAAAATAATTTAATCAGATTGGTTTTTTTTTCAAATTAAAACCTTTTGTTTTTGTCGTGTATCATGCAGTGTTTTAGAAATAGAATAAATACATGAATATTGGATCAAAGCTTTATATCCCAATAGGTTGTGGTTGCAGTATGTTTTTCACTAAATAGTAGAATTATGTCATGTATTTTGCAATTCAGTTACAAATGAGTAATCTATTCAAACGAAGGTGCTATCTTTATTTTACTTTAATAAAGTATTGATACAAATTGTAGTTGATTAGTTTCACAAAGGGACAACTTTTCATAGTAAAACAAAAGGATATGGAGTAAAATCTCACAAAATACATAGAAAGGATACAAATTATCAATAATCAGGTTTTTTTTAATTCCTGTTCTTCATCTTGACAGTCGATTTATGGTCTTCAACAATGAACGAATCATTCATTAACTCCTACAATGAGTTCAAGACGGCCCCTAGCGTCCACTTAAGCAGTACTTTTGATAAAAAAACACAGTTCACCTTCTTGCTCCCCACCCACCTCGTAGTGGCAACTTGTGCGATGCTCGTGTACAAAGATTCTTCAGACAAAAGCACCAGGGATTCCTGAAAAGTACATGCTTAAACATGTCATTCTAAGAATACAATTACCGATGCTAATGTGAAACCAGAAAGCAAAGTGAGTTAAAATTGCAATTCCAGATGATTTTACTCAATTTCTCGGCAGATTGTCCTATCGGATCCTATAGAACGTCCTGTAATAGCTATATCATATACCAACAGCAAGAGATCCTGTAGAACGCCCTACAACAAATTCATAATGTAAAGATAAAAGGGGACCCTGTAGACCGCCCATGAGATCCTATAGAACGCCCTGTAGTAGATATATTATAAACACGCAACAGGGGATCCTATAGAACGTACTATAGTAGATATATAATGTTCAGACAACAGGGGATCATGTAGACTGCCCAGGGGATCATGTAGAACGCCCTATAGTATATACATGAAAATCAAACATTAGGGGGGTCCTATACAATGTCCTATAGTAGATAAATAATGTTCAGACAACATGGGATCCTGTAGACCGGCCAGGGGATTCCTTAGAAAGCCCTATAGTATTTACATGACAAACAAACAACAGGGGATCATAAAGAACGTTCTATAGTAGATACATCAAAAACAAACAACAGAGCATCCTATAGAACGGTAAATAGTAGATACATCATAAACAAAGAACAGGGGATCCTATAGAAGGTCTTATTTTAGATGCATAATTTTCAAACAACAGGGGATCCTGTAGACCGCCCAGGGATCCTGTAGAACGCACTGTAGTATATACATGAACAACAAACAACAGAAGATCCTTTAGAACGTCCTATAGTAAATATATTATGTTCAGACAACAGGGTATCCTGTAGGCCAACCACGGGATCCTGTAGAAAACCCTATAGTATATACATGATAAACAAACAACAGGGAAACCTATCGAATTTCCTATCTCTGATGCATAATTTCTTAACAAAAGGAGATCCTGTAGACCGCCCAGGGGATCCTGTAGAACGTCTTATAGTATATACATGAAAAACAACCAACAGGGGATCATATAGAACGTCCTATAGTAGATATATAATGTTGAGAAAACAGGGGATCCTGCGGACCGACCAAGGGATCCTATAGAAAGCCTAATAGTATATACATGATAAACAAACAACAGGGGAACCTATAGAAGGTCCTATCTTAGATGCATAATTTTCAAACAACAGGGGATCCTGTAGACCGTCCAGGGGATCCTGTAGAACGCCCTATAGTATAAACATGAAAAAAAAATCAACAGGGGGTCTTATAGAACGTCCTATAGTAGATATATAATGCTAACACAACAAGGGATCCTGTAGACCACCCTGGGGATCCTGTAGTACGTCCTATAGTATATACATGAAAAACAAACAACAGGGGATCCTATTGAATGGCTTATAGTAGATATATAATGTTGAAAAACAGGGGATCCTGCCGACCGCCCAAGGGATCCTGAAAACTCTATAGTATATACATTATAAACAAACAACAGGGGAACCTATAGCAGGTCCTATCTTAGATGCATAATTTTCAAACAACAGGGGATCCTGTAGACCGTTCAGGGGATCCTGTAGAACGCACTGTAGTATATACATCAAAAACAAACAACAGAACATCCTATAGAATGTCCTATAGTAGATATATAATATTCAGACAACAGGGTATCCTGTAGGCCAACCAGGGGATCCTGTAGAAAACCCTATAGTATATAAATGATAAACAAACAACAGGGGAACCTATAGAATTTCCTATCTCTGATGCATAATTTCTTAACAAAAGGAGATCCTGTAGACCGCCCAGGGGACCCTGTAGAACGCCCTATAGTATATACATGAAAAACAAACAACAGGGGATCCTATAGAATTTCCTATAGTAGATATATAATGTTGAGAAAACAGGGGATCCTGCAGACCGACCAAGTGGTCCTATAGAAAGCCTTATAGTATAAACATGTAAAAACAATCAACAGAGGGATTTATAGATCGTCCAATAGTAGATATATAATGTTAAGACAACAGGGGATCCTGTAGACCGCCCAGGGGATCCTGTAGAACGCCCTATAGTATATACATGAAAAACAAACAACAGGGGATCCTATAGAACGGCCTATAGTAGATATATAATGTTGAGAAAACAGGGCATCCTGCAGACCGACCAAGGGGTCCTATAGAAAGCCTTATAGTATAAACATGAAAAAACAATCAACAGGGGGTCTTATAGAACGTCTTATAGTAGATATATAATGTTGAGAAAACAGGGGATCCTGCAGACCGCCCAAGTGATCCTATAGAACGCCATATATACATGATAAACAAACAACAGGGGAACCTATAGAAGGTCCTATCTTAGATGCATAAATTTCAAACAACAAGGGATCCTGTAGGCCGTCCAATGGGATCCTGTAGAACGCCCTATAGTATAAAAATGAAAAGCAATCAACAGGGGATCTTACAGAACGTCCTTTAGTAGATATATAATGTTAAGACAACAGGGGATCCTGTAGACCGCCCAGGAGATCCTGTAGTACGCCCTATAGTATATACATGAAAAACAAACAACAGGGGATTCTAAAGAACGTCTTATAGTAAATATATAATGTTGAGAAAACAGGGGATCCTGCAGACCGCCCAAGGGATCCTAAAAGCCCTATAGTATATACATGATAAACAAACAACAGGGGAACCTATAGAAGGTCTTATCTCAGATGCATAATTTCTAAACAACAGGGGATCCTGTAGACCGTCCAGGGGATCCTGTAGAACGCCCTGTAGTATAAACATGAAAAACAATCAACAGTCGATCCTATAGAACGTCTTATAGTAGATATATAATGTTGAGAAAACAGGAGATCCTGCCGACCGCCCAAGAGATCCTGAAAGGGGTCCTATAGAAAGCCTTATAGTATAAACATGAAAAAACAATCAACAGGGGGTCTTATAGAACGTCTTAGAGTAGATATATAATGTTGAGAAAACAGGGGATCCTGCAGACCACCCAAGGGATCCTATAGAAAGCCCTTTAGTATATACATTATAAACAAACAACAGGGGAACCTATAGAAGGTTCTATCTAAGATGCATAATTTTCAAACAACAGGGGATCCTGTAGAACGCACTGTAGTATATAAATGAAACACAAACAACAGAAGATCCTATAGAACGTCCTATAGTAGATATATAATGTTCAGACAACAAGGTATCCTGTAGGCCGCCCAGGGGATCCTGTAGAAAACCCCATAGTATATACATGATAAACAAACAACAGGGGAATCTATAGCATTTCCTATCTCTGATGCATAATTTTTTAACAAAAGAGGAATCTGTAGACCGCCCAGGGGATCCTGTAGAACGCCCTATAGTATATACATGAAAAACAAACAACAGGGGATCCTATAGAACATCCTATAGTAGATATATAATGTTGAGAAAACAGGGGATCCTGCAGACCGACCAAGGGATCCTGCAGACCGCCCAAGGGATCCTATAGAAAGCCTTATATACATGAAAAAACAAACAACAGGGGAACCTATAGAAGGTCCTATTTTAGATGCATAATTTTCAAACAACATGGGATCCTGTAGAACGCCCTATAGTATAAAAATGAAAAACAATCAATAGGGGAACCTATAGAACGTTCTATAGTAGATATATAATGTTCAGACAATAGGGGATCTTGTAGACCGCGCAGGGGATCCTGTAGTACGCCCTATAGTATATACATGAAAAACAAACAACAAGGGATCCTATAGAACGTTCTATATTAGATATATAATGTTCAGACAACAGGGGATCACGTAGACCGCCCAGGGGATCCTGTAGAACGCCCTAATAGTAGCTTCATTATAAACAATTAACAAGGGTTCCTATAGAACGCCCTATAGTAGAATGTTCAGACAACAGGGGGTCCTGTAGACGGTCAAGGGGATCCTTTGAACATCCTTTAGTAGATGTTTTATATCGAGACAGATTTTTTTTTTATTCAAATGCAAACCTAGCAATTTTTTTTTCAATCAATCCAAAGCCAGAATTTATTATTCAACTTCATACATGCTTATTGAAGACGAATTCAGAATTGTCTTTGAGCAACTGTATACTAGGCCCGATTTTTTTAATTATCA